TGTCCCATTAGGAGATCTGAAAATTCCTGCAGTCCATTAGTAGTTCCAAGTTCAACTCTTTCCACATTCCCTTCTGTAACAGCGGCTTCAAGCACTAGTCCCAACAGAAGAGGAACTCTGTCTGATCAAGGAGGCCAAGGCCCAGAACCCCCTCTCCCCTCTGGCCCCGGCCGAGCTCTGCCTGCTCACTTTGGGTGAAATCCCACATCTGACCACCAGGCTTCAGCTGTGGGCTTTCGCTCTGGACTACGACTCCTTAGAAAGGGTAAGAGAGAGCGGAACTATCAACTGTTTTTCTAACCTTTAAGTGATTCCATGTAAATGCTAAATCACTAACTCTCTCCCCTTAACAGGAAATTGCTGAGCCTCTCTTCCATCTGAAGCTGGCCATGGAGCAGCTCTCGGCCAGCCAGACGTTCAGATGCATTCTAGCAACAGTGTTAGCGATCGGTAACTTTCTCAATGGATGTAAGGTGAGTGACTTTTCCTTTATTATCCCTTTTCGATGCGCTTCCGGGTGTCAGTAAGTCTCACGATACATTTTAATATGCCAAGGCCCGTGGTTTTGAGCTGAGCTACCTGGGGAAGCTGTCCCAAGTGAGGGATACACACAGTCGCCAGCCCCTGCTGAACCACGTCTGTGTGCTACTGATGCAGCTCTATCCGCAATCGTCTGACCTCTACTCTGACATCACTGCTGTTACTAAAGCTGGCAAGGTGTGTAGTTGCGCCTGTGTGTGTGTGTTTGTCTCTTGAGGGTGTATGTTCTAAGGATTGGATACAACAAAAAGTCTGACCGTGCTTGATTCCAACTCATTTTCAATATCAGGTATAAAGGAACCCTATTTGAAATAGACCATAAACTACATTCATTGAATCAAAATGTATCAATCAATCCACTGTAAATCCATTTCAAAATGCACTAAATTTCATTCTTTTTTTTTCATCCTTACAGTGCGACTACTCCCTAGTGCAGTCCAACTTCGCCCAGCTAGAAGCCCAGTGCAAAGCATCGTGGGAGCAGCTCAAGATTTTGGACAAGGCAGAGAGAGAGAGGAAAGGAGGAAAGGTGGACAAGAGGAGTGGAGGAGGAAGAGAAGAGGAGGCCTTGGCCCTGGAGGGCTCGCTCCGTCACAGGCTGCCGAAGATTTTGAAAGAGTGCGAGGAGAGGCTGAAGGTCCTGAGAGCCGTCCATCGGCGGGTTATCAACAGGTAGTCCATTTTATTTTGTTGACATTTTTGGTGTCAAGTGGTCCTTATTGTGGAGTAAAGTTTGTCTGTCTTGTTGTTACAGTAAAGGTTTGAATTATGGAGTAAATTGCTGTTTTTCTCTTCATGTTTGTTTCTCTAGGTTCCACTCTTTCCTCTTATTCCTAGGCTACTCCCGAGCTATGGTGAGAGACACCAAAGCGGAGGACTTCTGTAGAACCGTCAGCAACTTTTCGTTGGAGTACAGGAGCACACGGCAGGCCATCCTCCTGCAGAGAGAGAGGGAACGACAAAAAAGTGGAGCAGAGAGCCCAGGCCCGAACACTCCCGCAGCCAGGAGGAAACATCAACAAACTCCAACACAGGTTTTCTTTTATTTCAGATGGTCTTAAAGTGAAGTCCCTCCATTGTGGCCAAAATGATTCACCGGTTTTGTTTACGTGTTAATCTGCTGATCCATTAGGAAAATGATGAGCAACGTAGGCTGGAGGAGGTGCTGAGAACGCCAGAGTCCACCTCCAGACTCGACGTCACTCTGCCTCAAAACCGCAGGAGGATGACTGACTTCCGAGGTACTTACACATGCCTGCAAAAAAACCTCCTTTATCTCTTTTTCTTTCTCTCTTTATCGATCAAACGTGTAATACTTAACCCATATTTCTTCGTTTCGCAGGTCCATTGTCACGGAAACTGACGTGGTGACCCTGCTGATATACTTTCAAAAAAGCCATTCAGTCACTGGAGTATCAGAACAAAATTGTTTGTGATTGTTATTTATGACCGTGTTCAAAGTCATATTTTTTTGCAGCACAATGTTTATTGGTAAGAATATGGACAGCTGCATGCGATTTCCACATGCCATTCAATTTTTGATCATGTTTTTAAAGTTTTAAAGTAAAGATGCAATAAAATTTGATTAAAATACATTAAACATGTACATTCATTTGTGTGTGTGTGTGTGTGTGTGTGTGTGTGTGTGTGCTCCACTGAAACAGAGCAAAATGAACAATAAAATATGCAAAATCTAAATGGTCAACATAAAAAATAAACACTAACAGAAGGGTGTTAGCCGGCATTATGCCAGAATAAAGCCTAAAACGTGAAGAAAACAAACTCCTCTTCAGAATGCTACATTGTGTGGATTGTTACATTGTCGGACATTGTTACAGTACATTCTGTTCTTCACTACATTCTGTTACAAGCTACAATGAATGCAGTTTGTGACATCATATGCTACTTCCCCTTGTCTGTTTGTCTGTCTGTCTGTCTGTCTGTAAGCGTAGCACGTGAACAGCTGCCAAGGCAACAGCAGCCATTGTGTATCTGCGTATGTCCACAAAATAACACGGCTATGAAGCTACTCATAAAAATATCAAGAGTGTCGCGCGAGTGCCTGAGTCTCGCGCCCGAGGTGTTTAATTAAACCTAACGATTAGTGTTTTTCAATCGAGCACAGCATAAGGAAAATGTCGTCACTCCTTGAGCCGGAGTGGCAAGCGCATCTGCCAATCGCTGACGACTACAGCCACACGGGGCGGTTTAAACATCCAATCGAAACAGGGAGGCAGCAGTGGGCGTGGCCCCTTCTGTGGCGTGTGTGTGTGTGTGTGTGTGTGTGAGAGAGAGTCGACGCCATTTCGTGTCCACTGGTTTCAAGGTGATACAATCAGCCTGCCGAGCCGTAAGCGGATCTTTACCTACTCAAGTAAAAACAGCGTTGAATTTTACTCATTTTTAGTATTAAGCTCCTGGTGAGTATTTTTAACCGAGAGATTTTTCCCTATTTTTTTTAATTTTTTTCCTGACTTTGAACCGTCTTTTGGACTTTTTGTTTTTATTTTTAATGCTTTTTTCCCCTGGCTGGTGTTCCTGAGACTGTGTTGGCTTTTAGTGGCGTACATTTTGTGATGGCAGTGTGAGCTGCGCAGAACCTAGTTTTAAGTAGCTTCCACGACAAGATTTTTTTTGCTTTTGTTTTTCGAATAAGACATTTGAAAGAACCTCGATTTTTCAGGGCTGCTTTGTTACCTTATTTGTTTATCTGATTGTGGTCGTATTTTCGAGGGGAAGAAATAATGGAAGATGGTTCCAGTCTTTTCTGGACAGTGTTCAAAACGGGTCGCCCCTTTTTCTGGAAATATGTTTTTAAAAATGTTTTTTTTATTCTCGTCGTGTGTTTTGCCCCCCCACCCCACCTGTAACTTGATTTGCAGTCGTTGACATTGACTCATAGGACGTGGTTTTTTTCAGTTTTCTTTGTGATTTCGGCAGTGCGGAGACAGTATGTTTTCAGCAGCAAGTCTTTCAGGAATGATGTAATTTTTCAGGCAAGATGTTTTTTCTCCCCCCCCTCCCCCCTTTCATGACAAGTGGGTGCGTTTTTTAATAAGGAACAATAACACAACAGTGTTTTGATGTGTTGTGCAGTCATGGACCTGGGATTTCTGTAGCATCGGTGTGACTTAGGCTCATGTGTGCATTTTTGGCAATTCAGATTTTTTTTATTGGCTTATTACCCTTTTTTTTTATTCAGTAGCAGGTTTTATTCTGAGCTGTGGAGCTGCTTAGACCCAGGACTAGGCCTACAGAGGGGGGGGCGGGGGTGCAATGAGCTGTAATCAGGCTGTAAATTGCTCGGTCGCTCCTTTTTTCTTGAATGTATCATCTTATAGCGAAGACTGATCAGTTGTATATATCTGCAAACAAACCTCTAATTGAATTTGCAACCAATCTTTACAGAGGGAAGGTTAGATTTGCAGTGGACAATGCCCCCCCAAAAAAACAACTGCAAGATCCCTGTTTTAACCCCCTATTGTACCTTCCCCCACCAGCCCACCCCTCACCCCTCTTGGCCCCCAAGTGTGTCCTCTGAAAGTGTCCTTTAGGCAGGAGTCCCTTCAGTTCCCCAGCGGGCGCTGTTCTGCAGCCGACCCTTTACTCCCCCCCCCATCGGCCCCTACAAGGAAGACAGGCGGGGGGAAGCCACCAGTCCCCCCATCCCCCCCAGACTTGTGATGCTGATGGTGTCTGATATTTTCCCTGCACATATTGGTTGATGTGTGTTTGCATATATGTACAAGCCTGAGTATATTACAGTGTTTTTGTAGTTTCTAAAGAAAGAACAGATTTTTTTTCTCTCTTCAATCCATTACCTCTATTTTTGCATGACCAGTTGACCTCCTTGCCGTGCCGCACAAATCCTGTTTAAATCCTGCCTGCAAAGACTGATATCTTTTTATGCACACACACACACACACACACCTTTTTACTGGTATTGCATCTATGATTTAAAGCAGAAAAGAAAAGATTCCACCTACAATAATAGCGTTAAAGTTTTGAGAGTATTCTTTGAGGAAAGAATTGATGAAAACAACTAAAAAGTTTGAATCAATTGGGCCACTTCAGCTCATTAAGTCTATTTGGACATATTTTTGCTAAATGTTTATATTCAGTAATGAAGATTTAAAGTGTACATGTTGTAGTTTTTAAAAATAATGAGTTAGAATTTGATTAAGTGAGACAGTTTGTGTATTTTATTTTAGCTTTAGCAGTAATTTTATTTAGACAGATTCATAGCAAAAATGGGCCAGTGGAATTAAGGGCATTATCATGTAGCAAATCTTTTTCTTTTTATCATTATTTTCCACACTTTGCCCTCCCTGCTTGTGGTAATAATAGTTCATAGTTCATAGTTCATGTTCAGAAGGTCCTCTTTTCTAATATTCCGTTTTTGTTTCCCCCTGTTTAGTTTTTTGAAGCCACTTTTTTGAACAGCAGCAAATCGTAAGTTGGTCTCAACTTTTTTTTTTTTTTTTGGTTTATTTTTCACCTCAACTTTTGCATCACTTTTTTATATATTACACTTTTGTTTTCGCCCCCCTCCCCCTTTGTGATTTAGCCTGTTTCTCTCCCTCTTTATGGATTTCCTAGAGCAAGTAGCATGTAGTGTTTTTTTTTTTGTGCTGTGAAAGTAGAAAATCAACTGTCTGACACTAGCAGCCTCTTACATGAGCTTCTCACATGTTCCCAGTTTATGATAATCAAATGCATAATGTCCAGTGTTGATTATGAGAGGCCCAATTTGTAGCTAATTGCTGAATAACCCCCCCCCTTGCATCCAGTCCTTGGATTAAGGGCTGACACTGACAAAGGCAAAAATACGTCCTGGTTTTTTTTCTGCCTTTGCTTTGTAATGTGATTTTCCTTTTTCTTTTCGACTGTGCATGTCATTTGATGGCGTCAAATCTGGTCCATTACCCACAGAAACACAAAGATTCCTGCTCTTGATAATAACAATGATGTCATCATTATCACCCCCAATAGTAAGTTTGTACCCATTAAACAAAGCATGCTTACTGAATACTTGAATACCTGAATTACTAACGTTTTCAGTCATCACTAAAACTGAATCTGAATTTGATTAAAAGCATTTTTGTACTTTTTTTTTTAACAAATGTAATTATTTTCATTAGAAGAAAAAAAACCTACATACATCCATTATCAGTTACACTGAGTTTTTAAGACCTCATCAGCCTCAAAGGTTAATATTGTATTCCTATTGTCCTCCTTCATCTTTACTCCATAAATCTGTAAAGTACATGCACACAAACTACATCCAGCTGCACACACATCTGTACAAAGCTGCTCCGTCTGTCATTTCCTCTCTCTCTTCCAAGCATGAGTCCCGAGAGCTGCAGTCGCAGTGTCTTTCACAGTTGAAGCACAAACATTAAACCAACACTCACTTGCATAACTGATCTGTTGTAATGAGCCCAGTCAAACTGAAACTCCAGTAAACACCTTTTTTTTATATTATATATATATCTCAACTACAGGCTAACATACAATAAAGCCCAGATGAGGCAGAGGATAGGGAAGGTTCCTGCTGTCATTAACTGTAAATATGAGGGGCCACAGTAAGCATTTGGCCCCTATTGAGGCATTAATAAGTTCCAAGATGTTGAATTTTGGTCCAATATAATATCTCTGCTTTAAACACCACTTCTTTGAAGCTTATATTGTTCACCTTATTGAGATTATTAAGCCTTGATTCAAACTGATGGACTACCTGGCCTTGTTTCACTTCCAGGAAGTTGGCAACACTCGACTTGAAACACGGTAAATGTCGGAACTCTTAATGCGAAGTGGTGCTTTAATTGCGTCGGAAACTGTGATTTACGGGCAGCCGACGCTGACGCTGCCAAATAATATTTTGTTTCATGGAGGAACGTCCCCCAAGAGTAGACGGCATGTGCCAAACGCAGGAAAATTATAAGTCATCAAATCGCCATCACCGGCAAAAAGACTGACGATGTTAAATCAGTCCAAACAAAAAAATATACAGTATGTGTGTCACCGTTTTGGAGCCACAGCTATTACGTGTAAGCAGTTTCTTTTCATTTTGACCACACAGTATGTAAATATTACTAAGATAATAAGACAATAAATGTTGTTCTCCGAATGTCCAACAACATAACCTGATTGGTTGTGTCCCGCAGCAGTCTCTGTCATTAAAACCACATGGAGTGCTTGTACATAAACCCTGGATATTCCAGCTTGAACCCCAACATGCCACAAAGAATTAGAAACACTTACTAAGCGGCCTGTGATAGTCCCCCCGCGCCCGCCCCTCTTTCTGAACACACCCGGTTTTGCAGGCACCCTGTCAGCTTGCCAAGCGATAGAAACATCCCGGCCAAATCATGTAGAGGAAAGCGGAGCATTAAGCTTTTGGCCAGACTGCCTGCTGCAAACCATGTAATCCCCTGCTAGTAGCTACTGGGCAGAGAGGGAGAGGCCGCTGCTGGGTTACAGTTCGGCCCAGCTGGCAGCACCGTTGCGTTTTGGCAGGTGAGACGTGGCTGTGTAATGGCTGAAGTGGTTGATAATAATAAGAGGAAGGGGTTCGCAGGGCCGAGAGGGAATTAGAAGAAAAAAGCAAGACGGACGCGCAAAAGGCCAATAAAGTAGAGCCAGTGTTTTTACTCGTGGTGAGGGGTTTATGTGTCCTGACGCTGAATCCCTCACCGTTTAGCTAGATAAAGCAACGAATGTATTCATGGACACTTTGAGTCTGACCCTGGAGCAGATATTTGTGAGGTTGCACAAAGTCTCTTACAGTTGTAATCAGTAAAGCTTTCCTGCCCATGTGCTCATGCCCCCCTCCTCCCCCCTGCACTGTTACATAACTTTGCAGTGCAGCTAATGCAACCGCCGCGCCAATCTGGCCTCTCTGTGCTCACATTAAAGCAGATGTACTACTAATTGTATGACAGAAGCTAAACGCGGCTTGCTTGGGTTGCTGCCTTTTTGTAAATGCCATTTCCACCAGTTGTTTCCTGAACTGCTGGCGCATCAGTTTCAAACACTCTAAACCCACGTAAGAGCAGCAGAGAAAAGTCTCAAAACTCATGCTGACAAAAGAATATTGACATAGGCTTCCTGGTGTACAATGATTTAGTTTTGATGCCATAATGTGATTTTTGCTTTCATTTGCACCCAGGAACGTGTTTCTTCAGTTTTCCCTTTGTACCAGCATAGATGCAGACAGAAATCATGGGCAGAAAGAGGGGAACAACATGAAGCTGGGCTCCCCCAGTCGGAATTAAACAGAGGATGCTGTAGCTATATAGCATGTGGTATAACCACCAGGCCTTCTGCATCTACTACTGTGAAAGTTATGAGTTGAATGCAAAAACGGAAGATTATGAGCTTCAGTAAAGTGGTGTTAACTGCAGGGATACCGTAAAGAGTTTCTTATTTTATTCACCCTCAGACATACAGTAGAATATAGACATTAGTTTCACAAATACAAATGTAAAAAGTAAAAAAAATAAAGTATGTTAAAAGTAGCTTTCTCACTTTAATGCAGTATCTTGTTTTGTCATAACAAACAACCATTTATCCCACAGGTTTTTTTTTTTTTTTTTTGGGTTTTTTAATATTTCTTCTAACACCTCCTACCACCTTCCCTTTTTAAGCCCTTCCTGGGTTTGCCAAAAAAATCCAAAGGGAAAAAAAAAAACTTTTTGGAGGTGTAGTAGATGTCTCCCCCACAGTCACTGACTCCGTCTCTCATAGTTCCTCAACGACCCTCTTCTCTCCAACAGACTCACACAGGCAGGCAGAGCTCCACCGACTCGAGCACAGACACAATGGAGTGAGTGCTGGCTGCTTCATGACCCGATCACACTGTCTATTCTGCTGTCTGATATCTACTTGTAGAGGCTCCTGTTGCCCTTGTTGAAAGTGCAAACACACATTTAATATGTGTGTGTGTGTGTGTGTGTGAGCGAGAGAGTGTGTATAAGATATACAAAAGTACCCCTCTTTGCTGAAATCCACCTGTAGGAATAGAAAGTAGGAGTCACACCTTTTTGGATTGGATGTGTGTATCAATGATTACAATGCTATTTTGTTACTATCAGGATGCATGTGTCATTAGCGACGAGTAGTCAGTTAATTGATGACTGTATCAACAGAAATTTACAGTTTTGGTAATGATTTGCTGCTTTTCACTGCTTTACGTGGCTGTACATTTAATATCTTTTGGTTTTGGGCTGCTGGTGGTACAAAAAAAGCAATTTAAAGATTTCAACTTTGGCATTACAGAATGGGAGTTTCTGACATTTTCTAGACTAATGTCACAGTTGCAGCCCTCTGCAAGTTAAACACATGCTCAAAACTTAGGCAGCGTGCTTAATGTCCCATTATAAGAGTTTGAACACTCACAAAGGTCATCTACAAATTCTAGTGCAAGGGGAAAAAAAAACATTCTCTTTCCTCTACCCCTTCCTGTCTCCTTGATCATCACTCAACTCTAAATGTTGTCTTGGTCTTCCTCTCCCATCCTTCTCTCCCCTTTCCTTGACCAGCCCGATGGCCAGCAGTAACGTGACCAACAAGACTGACCCTCGGTCCCTCAACTCCCGCGTCTTCATCGGCAACCTCAACACCCTGCTGGTCACCAAGGCCGACGTGGAGGCCATCTTCTCCAAGTACGGCAAGGTTGTCGGCTGCTCCGTCCACAAGGGCTACGCCTTTGTCCAGTACGCCAATGAGAGGAACGCCCGGGCCGCTGTGGGAGGCGAGGACGGCCGCATGATCGTGGGACAGGTGCTAGGTGAGATGGACGGGGGGTTATTGGGTAATAAAGAGCTGCAGGGATGGACTCCCTTTTCTGGAAACAAGTGAAAAAAACCCCAACAAATTGTAGTCTTTTCTTTAAAAGAATAGGTCAGTATATTTTGGCCAGGGACTGGTTGCTTGGCAACCTCATGGTGACAACAAGAGTCCAGGAAGTTACTGTGGCAGCCACCTGTAAAAATTCCAAACTGTCTTTTTTTTTTTTTTAAAGGTTAAACAAACCTGACACAATACATATGTTAATTAGTGAGCTTTAGTGCTTCCGGGCAGGCTAACTGTTTCCCCTTGTTTCCAGTCTTTGTGCTAAGCTAAGCTAACTGGCTGGGGGCTGTAGCTTTGTATTTTCTTTACAGACATGAAAGTGGGTTTGATCTCGGCAAGAAAACGATTAAGTGCGTTTTCAGAAATGTCAAACTGTACCTTTTTTGTTTTGGATCAAAGGAATTGCTGCACAGAAGACATGTTCTAATAAATAAATACAATTTTCAAAAACCAAACCAAACATTCTCAAGGTTCCAATGAGAGAAAATGGGTTTATACATCACTTGTTTTTTCAATTATTATTATTAGTTATTGGCACAGTAGTAAAACATGGAGACAATTAAAACGGTCCCTCTGTTTCCATACAAGGTCACAGCAGTGCTGGAGACTATCCCAGCATGCATTGGGCAAAACAAAAAGGAAATACCAGAAGGGGCCAGAAATCTGGTGCAGAATAATAAACAGATATATTCAGTCTCACAATCTAGAGTTATCACAATGTCCAGATGTCCAAATTCAAACTCAGGAACCTTTTTCTGTTCCACTATACGAACAGCTGAGCCACTGTGCGGCCCTCTCACCAGGAACAACACTGAAAGGAGGATTTTAAAGGATTATTTTGCACAAGTGATCTTTAAAAACATTAACATCTGTCATTAAAGTGCGCACAGCGAAACAGCTGTTTTTGATCTAAACGTTCTGATCTGCCTGTTGCTCGACGTGGGTTAAAAACACACTCGAGTAACGCCACCTGTTAGGGGTAAAACAGACCAACGACAGATCAGGAGAAGGGGAAGGAGTGATAAAAAGGTGTTTATTTAGATTTCTCACTTTCTGTCCATAACGTGCGTTCTCCCACTCCTGGCAACTGGAACTCTTCCCTCCTTGACTGTGTGTGTTTGTTTTTTTTTCCTCCCTCAGACATCAACCTGGCAGGCGAACCAAAACCTCACAGATCGAAGACAGTGAAGCGTTCTGCGGGAGACATGTACAGGTGGATACGTGCTGGTTAACGCTCACAGCAACATAGCAATGTCAATAATACCGCAACTCGAAAAACACAAAGTCAAGTATTACATCATGTCAACAAGTGCATTTAGCTGTAGTTAACACTTCTACCCCGTCTCCGCTCTCTCCACAGTTCATCTATTGATTTGGACTATGACTTTCAAAGAGATTACTATGATAGGTAAGCTGTATGTTCTTTGTATTTTTAAGAATAATTGCTCATGGTTTTTTTTAATATACCCTTTCTGCTGTACACTGGTGAACTCAAGTTTAAAAAAGCAGCAAAAGTGCCCTCCTGGATGCCCCTATGGTCAGTAAAACATGATAAAGTGCCTTCCAGGGTTCTCTCTCAGTGGAGAAAACACAATAAAGTGCAGACTAAGATGCTAATCTTAACCCTGATTAAGTTGTTTCACCATAAATGCATCACATTTTTCTGCCCGCTGGTGTCCTTTTTATTTTCTTGCCCCTTAGAGAGTGTAGCCTGGGCAGTAACAAAAAGCCAGAATGCCGCAACCACACAACCACAGGATACTGCAATTTGACTTGGTTTTTAGGTCAGTTTTTTAGTTACTGCAAATTTATTCAGATGGAAATTACACATTTCTGTAGTAAAACAGATGTCAGAAAGTCAATGCCCCGCTTGAATTAAGGGTTATTAGTGTTTTTTTTTATTGTTTTTTTATTGTATCTCTAATTGAGCTCTCCAGGTTCAGACTAGCATGTATGGTAAATACACAACTGACCAAAAACCACTTGTGCTTTCCGTGGCACCTAAATGTTTTCGCACCTCTGTATCTCAGGATGTACTCCTACCAGTCCCGGGTGCCTCCTCCCCCTCCTCCCCTGTCCCGCGCCGTCATTCCCTCCAAGCGTCCGAGGGTCAGTCTGAGCGGAGGAGGGAGCCGGCGAACCAAAACCAGCTTCTCCTCCTCCAAGAGCAAAGACCAAAGGACCTCCCGTACAAGTAAGTACCACAGTTATGTCGGGATCACGGAGTCGGGATCACGTAGTCGGGATCACGTAGTCTGTCCCGTGCTGCTCCGTCACGCCCACATCAACGCTCCTAATTTCTTCTTTTACCACAGTGAAGGTAGATGACCTGCAGACCATCAAGAGAGAGCTAACGCTGATCAAACACAAGGTGGACTACTTGCTGGATAGCCTGGAGCGCATGGAAAAGGACCACAGCAAGAAGTCAGGTAGGCTTTAATGCAATAGTGAAAGAAGTATTTATTACAGGTATTCATTAGTACCAGTACAAATACCACTCTCTGCAAAAGCCGTTCTTGGATGCATTCTTGGGTTATTTCCAGCCCCCCCCCCCCTTTACAACACTCAAGATCTGTGACTCATTCTGCACTAGGATGAGTCATGAAGGTGCATATTAAATGTTCCTCATATCTTTCAAGCTAACTAGCACCAGTAGCAGCTAGGAACAAAAGCCTTCCTCCCTCTAAGTTTCTCTCTTTCCCTCCGTTTACTCAGAGATGAAGAGCAGCAAATCGGAACCAGGTGAGGTGTCCTCCCTCAACTCCTCCACCTCCAGCAAGAAAGACGACAGCCTGAAACGGGACAGAGAGAGCCAGGAGCTGAACGACTCCGAGGAGGAGGGAGATCTGCTGGAGGACGAAGACGAGGTGAGGAGCGGGGGATGAGGAGAAGGGGACATCGGTGACTTTTTAAGCAAATAACTTTAATACTTTTTTGTTTCAGTCAGTTGATTGCTTTGTAGATCACTCAGTAAGTCAGTCAATAAATGTATATGTAAATACAGAAAAATGTAATTGCATAGAGCAGAAGATGATTTCTTAACCTAAAGCAATTCCATTCTTTTTTAAACCCAATGATCCTCTGATGTATATATTAAAGAGACTGTAACTCATTCAGATATCCCTTACTGCATGTGCTGAAGTGTTACTAAGGAAATGTCCCATGTTGATCTTATTTGTCCCCGTTCCCACTCTGTGCAGATGAAAAGCAGAGGGAGGGAGGAAGATGACGATGAGGACGAGGAGGAGGAAGGCGAGCAGGAGGAAGGAGAGGACGACGGCGATAGCGCCAACGAAGATGACTCCTAAACACTACACAGGCAGACAGACGCGCACACGCACACACACACACACACACACACACACACACACACACATACACAAAACAAATTGTGTATGATTGTATCTCCGCACCAGACTTGTACACAGTGGTCATGTGCTCATTTCTGCTGAACTGACTGGACATTTCTATACAGTGTATTGTAGATATTGCTCTCTCTCTCTCTCTCTGTCTCACACACACACACACACACACACACACACAAAAGTCATAAATATGTTAAGTACTTGTTTCTGGGTTATCCAGTTTTCTTTCAAGTTGGTAATTTGATGTTCTGATTATTTTTTTTTTTTACTTTTTATGGACATTTTCCAGCATTTAAGATAAATGCAAACTCATGTGTCATGTTTAGACAAAATTCAAGTTCAGTTTAGGATAAATGTAACATTGTTTAACATTGTATGTTTCAACTCAGGGCTATAAGCCACTCCAGTATAGAACATTAAAAAAAGAAACGTAAGGCCCTGTCAGTAATTATTTTTTAGATGACTGTGTTGACTAAATGCCAAGAAATGTAACAAATTACCACTTGGCAGTGGCTGACAATGAAACAAATCCAGAATAAAAATATACTCAGGTGCAACAGTCAGGCTTGAGATAAAATACCAGACATGGTAATGCATCCCAGCCTTGAAAATGTATAACAATTCAAATATACTCCTGATGCAGCTGCTGTACAGCTGCCTCCTAACCAGCAGGTGGCAGCGTATCATAACAACTGGCCACACAAAAGACCACAAGGACTTCTTTCTGTTGATCGCAGAAAAATCTTCAGCTTCTTCTTCTGTCTGATAAGAACATGAGCATGTTACAAAACCTCACGTCGGACTGCGCAAATGCTCAGACAAAATCCTCCTGTCTCTTAAAATAGTTTTGTTTTTTGCCGAGGCGTTGCGACCTTAACTGACCTTGACTATGACTGTAATGCAGTGCTACTCCATGTTTGTCTGTTTCTGATGATGTTCTGTTTGTCATTTAACTGCACTGGTGAAAGTGAATAAACATGTTTTCCAAGCTGGAACCTGTACGAGCATTTGGTACAATTCACATGGATGCATTCAGGTGCAGTGTGAGGCCGTGGGTCGTTTGCGTGCCATTTTGGTACAGCGTTATGAATGGTGGTAGCTTTTAAGTGCAAAGTCCTCGTCAAAAGCCGGTATTTTCTCTTGTACCTTTTAGATGCAGTTATGCAGTTATGCAGGTAGTTTTGCTTTTATGCCCAGGTTAAGTTTAAGATATTTTTCTGTATTTGTTTACATTTTGGCTCCAGTAATAGTATTAGCTTTTAGCAGTTCCTGTTTGCAATTTAACCCATCTTAAAAACATGATGATTCTCAAGCAAGATCTGGAGTGGCAGGGGTGTCTTTTTTCTCTGATTTCTAAACAGATTTATGTGACGCTACCCTCTGTAACAAGTCACACTGAATCTAAACATAGACGTATCGTGTCTGTTCCCTCAGATTTAACTGAGTTAGGACTCCGAGTCAGAGAGTTTTGATTTTGGCACAAATTGGTTGTCTATAAGTTCCTTATATACCTTTCACCTCAAGCAGTATCTTTGCCTTATGTCTGAAGGGGAGGCACGCTTCACAGTTTGAAATCCATCTCAAAATATCAACAAGTAAGACCAAAACTATCTGCATGGCTAAATACCACTTGAAGTAAATGACCCTTAAACCTAATTTTAAAAAAAATACTTTTCTTACCTGTAAACTTTGGAAGAGGGAACATTTCCAACATAAAAAAGGAAGTATTTAAATAAATCTACTTGAAACAGACAAGCTTGTTTGTCCATAAATGTATTACCATTGACCAAAACCGCGTCAATACACAGCCTCCTTTTATAAATATACATTATCCCGCTGGGAGTCTGCTGAGGCCTTGGAGCTCGGTAATGAAGGCAAGAACATAGAGCTGGCAGGAATAAAGAGGAATGCAAAGAGGAAAGAAGGATAACTAATCAATATGAAGCAGTCTTCAGGGTGAACTGTGATTAACGAGGGGACAACAGGCAGACGTTGGGGGGGGGGGGGGGTGGATAATGAGACTATGGATGATGGAGGGCTGGACGGAGAGTGGATGGATGGATGAACAGGCTGCAGAAGACTGGAAACAGATGGAAGAGTAGCTGACAGATGGAGAGATGACAGGAACAGCGGAAAAGATTTTGTGGCGTGTGCCTGGGGGGGTGAAGGATGTGGAAATGGTGTCTAACAGTCAAAGTGAGTGATTGCAGAGCAGCACCTTTCAGTTTGAACCCAGTCTAAGCACTGGTGGCTGTTCAGGTGCAATGTTTTATTGAAAATACTTTGTCTTTGTGCGAAACACTGAAAATATGTGTGCGTTTTGAGAGTGTTAAAGGTTTGTTTCCATTGGCTTTACTAAGAATTGACTATGAATTCAAGGGTGGGCCTGCATTTAGATGATCGAATGAACACTGCCACTCTTTGATTCGTTGCAATGAATCACAGCATTTTCAAAAAAGTCAGTAAGAGAAGCAGCCTTATAATCGAATTACATGCTCTTATTTACAGAAATAGCTGCCCTTGAGCAAGGCACCCAACTTCTACCCGCTCAGATGAGGCAGTTATTATCTCTGTTGAGTAAGGCGTTGCTGGAAACCTACGTCCGTTTGACGCTAGAGGCTTAACAAACCTAAATCAGATGACACTGTGGACTCATTCACCTCTCACAGCCTACACCGTGTTGTGTAAATACATGCACGACTGTGGCTAAATGAACATCAATGAAATGAAAGCGAGTGTACAGTGCAGTGGGAAGTTAACGTGTGACAGTGGTGCGATTACTGTTACATGGGGAACATTGCCCAGTGCAGCGGAATCAATGGCTCAGGAGCACAGAGAAGCTCACACTCACACACACACAATTTTCCGGCTTTGTCACATATTTACACACATACTGTACATACCCTGTCTTCTGGCACCATTTCTAAGAGCAAAACATTCACTATACTATAGCTTAAAAACTGTATAAATATCTAAACACACGCATGCTCTAAGGTTGTGGACACAAACTAAACATACAAACAGAAAACTGAGCAATGGAACAACAGTGAACTCCAGTAAAAACCATGTCTCCATATCTCCACCATGTCATTTGAATGTGTTTGTAAATGTCTTCTTCTGAAGCTAAATGAGCCCTATAAAAACCTGTTTAACTCTCAGTGTGTCAGAAAGCTGAAAACCGGCCGGCTTACTTTGGAGATATGTGGTTGTCACAGAACAGAGATCCTTCATTGAAGCAATGGAAAATGTTCAGCTTGTATAAGCAGTCGGACAGACTTGTTTTTATGGAGTGTCCAGGAATGTCAGAGGTCACAGGTTTGATTCTGCGAACAGCTGTTCAACTGTCCTGAATGAAAATACTTAAACTATGAGGTCGCTGAAATGTGATTTGAAATACGTTTTTCAGTTCCTGTAATATTTAGTTTCAGTATCAGCCTGCTACAAAGTCATTGTCAGGCACACATGCATACGTCCATGCCATTTTGTTGCTCAGGAGGTAGAGCGGGTCGTCCACTAATCAGAACATGGGCCGTTCAAATCCCCAGCTCCTCCAGCTGCATGTCAAGTGTCTTTGAGCAAGATTTAAGCAAGATACTGAAGCCCAAATTGCCCCAGATGCTGTACATCGGTGGGTGAATGAGTATGAATAAATAAGTTTCTGTTTGCCATCAGTGTATGAATGTTTGGGACTGCAGCATGTAGTGTAAGTACATCCCATTTAGCATTTACCACGCATGATTAGTTACAAGCTAAAATGTGATGGGAAAACAGTAAGCAGAGGTAAAATGAATGGTCCAAAAACACTGCAATCGTGGCTCCAAACCGGAGCTATTGGGAAGAGAAACGTTGACCAGGAGTGCCCCATTTCCACCAGATTAGCTCTGGTTCCTGCACCGGGTTCCCTGAACTGTCTATAATGGGGTCAGCGTACAGTACTGAATTTAAACATCAGCCATAATGGCGGTATTTGCCGAGCCTAACATTTTTTTTTATAAGTGGTACGTGGTGTAACAAGTTTTAGAAACACTCTAAATAAAGCCAACATCTAAATATCAACCCTTGTCGATCATCTCTATGTGGCACTATTTCATAAGTGACAGAATGAGACCTTGAAGCAGCTTTTTAGATGATATAGAGCCGGCTGTGTAAAAAAGAAAGTTCTAAGGAGTTAACAAAACTGAGTACCGCAGGTCAAAATCCCCCAGCAAGGTGTCAACCTGAAGGAGACCTCTCTCATGGTTGTCATTTTATCATGTCAAAACAGGAAAAGCTTTAATGACGTTTATAATGGCTGCATTCCATTTGGGTTTGCCAGCTGAGCCCCCTGCTGCATGCTGGCTCAGCTGGCACAACTAAATGTCACCAAGCCATTAATGTTATTAGTTACACCAGTGTGACTAATAGCAATACTAATGGTCTCATTATGTGTTTGTCTGCTGTGACAAGTCTGAACACGAGACCATGAGAGCACTTTGCAGTTGTTAAAACAAATATTGCTCCATCACCTGTGAGTTAATGATACTTAAGTTTACTTACTTTTCATCACCTTAGCACCTTGGAAGGTTACCTGGAAGTCTCCTCCTACATGTTTCATCTCCTCAGTGGAGCGGAGGCTTCAGTGGATGTTTAAGTCACAGAAGCGTTTCTACCTCAGCGTCATCTTAAAATCTGTACAATAATAGGTGGATGGAAACCTACCTAGTGAGAAAAGTTGTGATGCATTCTCTGCTAACTCTGACATGTTGGTTTCAGTACACTAATTGAATGAATTGAGACATTTTCAGTGTTTTCATTTTTGACAATCCTTTTCCAAAATAGCCACGACCACAGGCTTGCCCTAACCTTAACCAGCGTTTTGAACCAAGACATTGAATGAGAGTATTTGCTCAAAAATGGACTTTTTTTTTTTTAACTGTCTAGATCACATATAACATATATTCAAGAACATATAAAAAAAACTATATTTCATGGTTAAATGTGTCTTAACTCCATGCTCAAAGTCATCAAACTAATGTTGAAACAATGGCTACAAAACATTGTAATACCTTGTACTGTTGCACATTGTCGAGTATGGTATCAAAGTTTGCGCTTTGTGTATAATCCCTATAGTGGAATAATCTAGTCAATGCAGATAAAAGAAAACCTTGCCTACAGCATGTTATTAACCATCCAAACATCAGAAGCAGGAGTTAAAGATGTAGAAGGTGATGTGGGTGAATACTGAAGGAGGGAAGGAGGGGAGGTTAAAGAGGTCACGGCCGAGATGAACAGAGAGAGGGAGGAAGAAAGAGAGGGGTGTGAAAGCGAAGAGGAGGAGGGAGATGAAAGGCAAGTAGTATTACAGGGCTGCAGAGAGGTCATGAAGCAGGGAGGGGAGGGGAGGGGAGGAGGTGATGAGGAGAGATAGAAAGGATGGAGCTGTAAGCCTCCAGGGTTATTTATCAGTGTCACTGCTGGGGAGCTCTTTGTGTGAACGACAGTGGAGAAAAGAAGGAAAAACACGATGAAAGAGACCCACGAAAGTAACCGAGCTTACGTGAGTGTGTCAGAAGAATCTATGACTGTGTTAGTGTAAGAGAGAGAGAGAGAGAAAGAGAGAGAGAGAGAGAGAGAGAGAGAGAGAGAGAGAGAGAGAGAGAGAGAGGAGGGGAGTCGGGGAAAACAAAGAATGAAATATGAGTTAAACACAGGAAGAGAAGAGTTGGCTGCCTGCAGGTGTATTTCAGTTTGGTTTTAAACAAACCAGCCAACTGCACAAGTGTGTGTGTGCACGCATGCATATGTGTAAAAGAAAACCAAATAGAAAATAGCTAGAAGGAAATTTAGACTTGTTTTAATCTCAGTTTACACCTAATTCCCTCTCTTTTAACTCTAGTAACTACTGATGCACTGACTGCTGACACAGAGCACTGTAGTCAGTTCTAATTATAATAACTCTGTTTTGTTTGGGTGGTGCTTAGTGATATTTTAAACAAAGAAAGAGAGACTTATTCTC